TCTGATTTGGGGATTTGTCGAATAAACTAGTGTTCAAGAATACTGACCAATAAGAGTAGTAGTATTTATATCATTCGAATATGTAAAACATTAAACTAATCAACAAAATTTGTAAGCCAGTGATATCAGTGGAAAATAATTACTTGACTAATCAACTTACTACTATTAGTAATCGTCTAAACATCCCCATCATATTAAAAGACTAAATCTTAATCTTTTACTGTTATTACTATTCACTACTTACTACAACTTTCAGTCACTACCGATATCTGAGCCAATTTATTCTATATTTTGTAGTTTACACTGACATTCATCAATAAATATATAATTCTAGCCTACAATGTTTTTTTTTAATAACTAATTAATATTTGCAAATCATCCAATTAATTCTAATTTACATATTTAAAAGAGTGGAATTTTGCTACGTCTTGTCTCTATGCAATTTTTTTTGTATATCTTTCTGTATTTGTTTGTGCATAAATGGATTAGTGGTGGTGTAAAGTTTATATATTTTTTTTTCAAAAAAAATTCAAATATTACACTGTATTACATATTTTAACTGTAAATGATATTGAAAACATGAGAAAAATTAATTTAGCGGTTGATAATCACGTTGTTTTTGCTCATTGTTTTGGATAAGCCATTTCAATGCATATATATAACGTTCCTTTTTAGCTCGTTTTGTTGCATACATATACCGCTTTTTCAAAAAGATTCTTAATTACCGTAACCTTACGAACATAAAATTCTTACATTCATATTGTGAATGATTATTTATTGATTGTCAAATTATGATATAAGTTCATCATATATTTGTTTTATATCATGTTTGATTGTTAAATTTCAATTGTGATCTAGTTGGTTGTTATGCTGAAAATTTTGTAATGAATTAATTTGCATACAATTAATAAATTACTTAGTAGTTTGATCAATTTTATATTTTTCTAGTCTAATAGAGTTGATCGAATTCTATCAACTGATATACAATGTCAGAAGGGGTTTTGTGGAGATTTTAGTAATTTTATAGAGTTGAGATCATGAGTCAATTGAAGCTAGACCACCATGAAAAACCTGGAAGCACTGGACGACCGTTTCGTCCCACCATGGGACTCCTCAGCAGTGCGCATCCACGATCTCGCCTCGTGAGATTCCAACCCAGGACCTACCAGTCTCGAGCTAGAGCCCTTAACCGATAGACCACTGAGCCGGTGTCCAACGGTGTTAATGTATAACTTCAACTGTTCCAGGAAATTGAGAAACCATTCACCAATGTCATCAGTGAGTTACTATCTCACAACAGACCTGGTTGAACTCCACCGGTTACTGCTTCTCACTAGAACTTCAGGAAATACCTCATGGAGTCAGTCACTAGTGAGCACATGATCATTATCAGAAGGGGTTTTGTGGAGATTTTAGTAATTTTATAGAGTTGAGATCATGAGTCAATTGATATACAATGTGACGGGTAGTTTAAGTACCCAGAGATTATATGAGTCACATTAGGATATTAACTGTTTGAAGGTAGCCGACTATATTTAGCTTTCGTTTTAAATCTAATTTATATGTTGAGTGACTTATGTTGATTTGGTGGATGTTTGATTTCTTTCGATTTAATCATGAAGTCATAGTAGGTATCATTACCAAAGTTTGACTTGATAATTTCGAATAAGTTTACCATTGGGTAGATTTTTATAAATAAATTTATATATTTGTTATATCCCGATGAGTAAGCCACTTCTTCAGTGAATAAATAACAAATTTAATTTGTTTTACACTCAGTCACGAAACGTCAGAAAATTTAATTTTTTTACTCATCGGGATATTTATTTATAATAAGTCATAGTCTTCGAAATGAAATTACGTACGTATTACAATTACGAGCGAAACAACTTTCTGAGGTGTTCAATTTTATCAACTATTACATAATTGTGAACCATAATCCAATTTATAGGAAACATTGACAATATAATTGAATATTATAGATTCCCATTGTGAAAATACGTACATTCCACCCCAATTTATGTGTACAGAAGAAATTTGTAATCCCCCTATCCCTTCCATGACTGGACTCTATTATTATTTCTAAATTTTATTTTTAATTTTGTTATCATTTGTTTGTAATTTTCTGCCTCTTTCCATTTGTATTCTTCACTACCTAATTACTTACATACTCCTTATTACGTAATGATTTTAATGTTTTGTGATTATTATTCTAGTCTGTTTACCCACGTTTGACCTCCTATTTCTTATGTTTAACTATTGATAAGACTTTTGTTATCGTAATTTCACATTCTTACTACTATTAGTACACCTGCTCAGTGTCTCGAAATACGTTCATTTAATTATTGAGTATTGTGTTTGTTCTTGATTTGTGTATAGATAAAGAAGTAAGCATTGACATGTTGAAATCTATGGTATGTACGATACGATGGGTAGAAATATATCCTCATATTGTACCTAATCAACGTACTATCATTCTATTGTATCTTAATTGAACATTGTATATAGGTGACAATTTGGTTTTTCTGTAGTTAGCGTTTAATTACTTGATTACTGAAGTTTTTCTCATGATAGATTTTGTGAACAATTAACCTCTCCGTCATTATTAATGGTAATCAATAATTCAGTAATTCTAGTACATAAACTCTTAAAAAAAGAAATAAAAGTGGATCTTTTACATATGTTCTGGGCAAACTAATGTCAAAGTTCTCTAAGATGTGGTTAATTCGAGGATTGTTTGTTGTACTAACTCTTCCAAACAGTTAAATAATCATTATCATATTCAATTTTTTTTTTAAAATTATAAAACAACGGCAATTTTTTATCAGATCTTATAATAGTTTTTGTTATGTTCTAAGCCCCGTCAAATAATGCGTGACTAAGCGCCAATTAGAACACCGGCTTATATGACCTTGTCCCTGTGCTAAACTAATGACGCGTTAACCAGCTCGAGAAACATTGAGTAAACTCTGAGTTCTTATTGGTCCTCTATATAGTAGCTTCTCGTCTAGCTCATCTGGTTCAATCCAGTAATACAGATATCAGCTTCCACTGTAAGGATCATATATTTTAAACATACGCAGTTTATATATAAGCAAACCAGACCACATCATACCATAAAATAGAAAATAACAATTATACACCATCAAGCCAAGGGTGACTGTGAATGTGAGGGACTATAACAAATAGGTCGAAAATAACTTAACATACGTAGTGATCGTCCATAAATAATTCCTAGCACTTATCATTCATTTATTCATCGCTCTCATACAACATTTTTATTTGGTAATTTAGTATGAATCGTTAAATTCTATCTGTTGGTTTACTAAAACAAAAGCGATGTGTCGAAGCTGATATTACCAATCATTTTTATGATAAATTTAGTTTTCGTCATCTAGTAAAGTTTTTGGTGCCATCTTTATGCTTAAATTTTCTGATGTAAGTCATATAATTCATTTACGAAATGTAAGTTTATGTATAAAGTTTTTGTGATGTGCTACATGCACAAGAGCTATTGAAAATACATCAATGACCATAAAAACATTTGTATAACGTAGATTCGTACCTACAAACTTATCGAATGAAAACCATTTATTTGTACTACCAAGTTAACATATAAAGCTAACTGGTTAGTGTATTTACTATATCGTAATTAAAAAGTAATGTTTCCTAGCTTTTTGTTCTTGCCTAATTACGTACACTTTGGTATTATGTTGATCTTGTTGAGTAAAATCTAGTATTTATGCGTAAATTTCGCAAACCAGTTTTTTCTAATCACTGTTGATAATAATCGTTTTATCATCGTAATAAAAGCATAGTACCATATCAAGTTGTTCATTGTATCTAATCAAATAATCCTATATTTTATATTTGATAAATTTTCGGACACAGTTTCTTGTCCATAATAATGTCAGGGTTTTTAAAAAAATCAATATTTATTCTAGTTATTGCACTTCAATACATTCAATACGTATGCAAAGAAAGTTTAGATGACACTTATATTATTCAATTTATTCGTTATTCAATGCCTTCCGGATGTAAATAAATCAGTATGATTTAAACGTGACATAACAAACTCATTGTATTACACGGTTTGTATCAGTTTACAATAAAATCCTACCATTCATTTTAATAATTAGGACTTTATCAGTTAAATTAACTCAATTATTATAATCAGTCTGATTAACATTATTCCATTTGTATTTTCATCAATACTGAAGATAGTCTGTAGTTAATTGTGTAAATCAGTTTAAACATCGGGTTATTATTTTTACCACTTATCAAACGGACAGATTTTTTTATATACTTAGTTCCTTCTCATGTCTTAATTTTTTATTTTACTTTATTTATACATATAAGTATTGGTACAAGGGGTACCAGATACATGTGCGCCACACAAATCTCATTTTATTTTGTGTGAGAGCTGTGATACTGCACGGGTGCCCAAACTGAAGCAGGTGGTTTTCTTAGGGGGCCACACCCGGAGCCTTTAACCTAGAGGCTTGATCCACAATTCAGTGGAGCATCGTGAGGAGATGCAGTCCCATGGTAGCCGGTGACCAACAATTGGTTCATATGCCATTCGTTCCATCAGGATCCTATACTTAGTTCCTTCCCATATCTTAAAGAGAGTAAAAATTAAGAACCAAACAGAATTACATTAAAATTTTATGTTCTTTCCCTCTTTAGAATAGATAATGTTTTTGATTTGTAGTTTTATTTTCATTCATTTATCATATCATTTGTTTGTTTTAACCATAAAACAAACAACTTTATCGCACTAAATATTTTGATGCTTAGTTTCTCTAAGCAAATCATATACCAGTGTCCTCTTTGAGATTAGATGAAATTCATATTTAATGTTTTCCAAAAGAAAAATATTAGACATATTTCAATATTTCCAACAGTTTATTCTATCTTCTAATGGAACATATAAATAAAGCTGCATATTGGTTGTGTTTGTTAATGAACTTCACTTATTGGTTTCTTCCATTCTTTAGTTCCTAGAGATTTCCATTCTACTCTGTTGGAATACACACGTGAAGGTTATCGAGTTTTAGCGTTAGCTTGGAAACCATTGAAAGCAACCTATACAAAAGTTTTACGTGTATCTAGGGATCGTGTCGAGCAAGATCTACAATTTCTTGGTCTATTGATCATGGAGAACCGTTTAAAACCGGAAACAACTCAAGTGATTGAAACTTTAAGATATGCTAATATTCGACCTGTAATGGTGACTGGTATGTTTCTTTTTCATTGATGTGTTTCTTTTTAATGTGATCTCTCTTGGAAGTGATATTTTAGATTATTTTCTCGAACAGTAACTAACTACAGTTTATATAGGTAAACATTAGATGTAAACTTGGAGTATATATATATATATATATATATATACATTGACTTCTGATCACCGTATTTGGCTATTCGGAAGAGCTACCAAATAACTTGGTTTCGACATTTGTTTTCTTAAGCTCATCTACTTAATGATCAGTGTTTATCTGATACTATTTTTAGGATTTTCTTGTGTACGGCAGTTTTAATTTCTCACTTGTGTTTGGTTGCACTATCGTTGAATCGTCTTTGCCTGTTAGTTGTTCAACTTATCTGATCTAGTTAGATCGGTCTGCATATTGCTAGCGCCACTGGAACTGTTTCATTTTCACCATTAAGCTTGTCATTTATGCTAATTATGCTGACAAATGTAAGTAGTATATGGCATCAACCAGAAGTGGAATGTCTGGCAGCAGAAAATTGAGATGACGAGATCAGAAAGGAAATCGGAGAGCAACCAAAACAACAAAATAATCAGAGGAATAATAGAGTATGTAAGTGGCATTGTAAAGAAGATGTGCAAATGATTTATTTTAGGTATGACTTCCTTACTTTGCCAAGTCACTATGTGATTTTGAATTATTCAATAAATTGGTTTCTACCACCTGAGTTTTCGTTCATTAATTATTATCATTTGACCATCTAAACGACCATTAATAATAATAGAACATCCGGTGTACGTTTCTGAATAAGTCACAGCAGGTTCTTTTAAAGTGATACGCTTAACTGAATTTAACGATGAATAGTATGATACTGTTTAGTAATAAAACAACTTTATGGACTGTAATTTGTATATCTTAATGGAATTATCATTATTATGCAAGTGTGAATACTGAATTAGCCAAAGTGAGTTTTATTTCAAATTTCGTAGAATAGTAAATATTTTCTGGTGCATTATTCCATTTATGGAGTTTCAAATGTGATAAGATGTTAGACTAACCGAAAATTAATCATCATAAATCGTTTTCATCTTTTTTTTAATTTCAGTTATCTATTTAATAATAGTTTCTTAAGTAACAATAACATACAGGGTATAAATACCAGTGGCATTCTGTAGATTCATTATTAAGTTTATTTAATTGTAAAATATTGATAAACATGTGATTTAAAATGATTTATAATTTTGTTGAAAGTCATTGATCAATGTTTGTAGAAAATCAGTATTATGGTGCCAAATTTGAAATCTTTCATGATAGTTCAGGAAAAAATGGCAATCTACTAAGTTGCTTATTTTATTTTATTTAAACACATAAATATTTGTACAAGGGGGTACCAGATACATGTGCGCCACACAAATCTCATTTTATTTTGTGTGAGAGCTGTGATACTGCACGGGTGCCCAAACTGAAGCAGGTGGTTTTCTTAGGGGGCCACACCCGGAGCCTTTAACCTAGAGGCTTGATCCACAATTCAGTGGAGCATCGTGAGGAGATGCAGTCCCATGGTAGTCGGTGACCAACAATTGATTCATACGCCATTTGTTCCCTCAGGATACTGAAGCCCATGTGCACCATTGGTTTGGAATCAGAGTTTCCCAACTCGCCTAGGTGGACTTTCTGTGTCAGCCAACCCGGTTAAAGTGCCGGACATTCGTTTTCGTCCTCTCAATTTCATAAACAACAGTTGTGCCACGATAAGGCAGTGAGTAGGAATTCCGTGGCAGTTGCTGTATACGCGTGGCCATATGAGAGCATTTGGAGAGAGGGAGAGCGGACTCTCCACACTTTCAGTCGTACCAGGGTATGTAGGGGCAAGTTGTTTATAATAGATTGTAATTGTTACTTTAAAAAAATGAGATATATTTCGAAATTTAATTTTTTTTTTTGAAATTGTTCATCGTTTGAACAATAAGAATTCCTTTTCAATCCTTACAGCGGATAGTGTTCACACTAGGTTCATTTTCAGTTATTCGGCCTTAACTCATAGTTGGCAGGAAATCTTATAACTGGTTTCATTTGAATAATACTCAGAGAAATTTTTTTTTGAAATAGGTCAGTCGATAGTAGATCATTAGATATATGTCTTAGTTATAACTGGTGTAAATGTTTTTTTTTAATTTGTGCAACATCATTAACTAAATCTTGGCGTTTGACCGCTTTTCCTATTATCAATAAAGTATTTTTTGGTTCTTCGGTTTAGAGTGTAAGCTTTACCTTTAAATCACAAACCCTTTTAGTTAAGAAACAATGCGGGTTTTTTTTGTTTTGATGTACTAAGTTTGTCCAACATTCTATGAATAGTGTATCCTATGTGTGAAGCGCTAAACGTACTTTTAGAAAATCAACATTGGGTAATTGAACAAGAAATCTATTAAAATTAATATTTCACCATAATTTTGTCATTCGAATTTGAAAGAAACCTCCAAATTAATGCTAGCAATCTGATTAGTAAGTGAAATATCACTGGATTCATTCAATGGCAGATTAAACAGACAATTAGTTCGAATCTCCAGTAGTTCTATATGTTCCTGTTAAAATAATCTTGAATTTTCGCCGCCCCTCACGATTATTTTGTTAAACAATAATCTCAAATATGCCTAGTGAATAGCTGTGAATTAATGCATCTAGGTTAACCGAACAGACAATGATTGACAAATCAGGTTAGTAATATCGCTAATTATTCCCTATCCTAATCATTAACAATTGAAAGATAACGTAAAAATATTGTAGATTTTCTTTACTTCTCCTACTATTCAGGATTCCATAGAATAAATGCTTACATACTCAGTTAGTAATTACTTTGATGATCGTCATTTAAAAATGTAATTTTAGTTTTGTATTAGGTCTAATAATTAAAGAAAAGTTTTATACAATCTGTTATTGATTGATTTTAGCTTCATTTATGTTCAGATTTCAAGTTTTGTTTTTCTACCTGAATTTTTACCGCTTTACATGAACACATTTTACGACAGATAACATGGTTGACCAATGCGATTTAAATAATTTCTACTTTTCAATCTTATAAAATCCCAAAGTAATTATTGTCCATTTATGTGTCGGATGTTTTTCTTATCATAAAATCGGTATCCGCATTTTCACCTACTAATTTCTAAAACTTGAGAAGAACATAAGGATTTTTGTTTATTGTGTGGATATATCTAACGTTAAGCTCCCTTATGACTTTAAAAATGTGGATGTAATCATAACATGTTACGATTCAGTTGAAGTTACTACATGATGTTATCATTTTCATGTCATCTTATTTAGTAACCATCTTTTATTTAATTTCATAAACTGAAAAAACATCGTTTAATTGTACTAGGCTCAAATTATTAAGTTAATTGTATTGCATAACAGTTTTATAACTTTCTTTGAATCATCATTAGAGTTTTGTTTCTTTTACTCGGTCAATATCTTTATTAAATTAGTTTTTCATGTAATAAACATTACACTAAAACAGTTTACATGATTTCATTTCAATTTTTGTGATTCAATGAAATTTCGTAAATTAATACTGTATGTCAATTACAATTACAACAAATGTATTATTGCTCATCATTCAACCTTCTTATTTAGGTGATAATATGTTAACTGCATTGTCCGTAGCTCGAGATTGCGAGATGATCGATGAACTGGATCGTATTATACTTGTGTCTGCAAAACCACCACCACTTCCTCCTCATGTTCAGTCATCTAGTTCGAATGATTCTGTGACATGTTCTGCCAAAGTTGATCTAGCAAGTGATCAACAACACATTGATACTTCTTCAAATCATGTTAGTTTACCATCCATTCTGTTGACACAATCACAAGGAACAAGAAACAATAATAGACCACGTACACACTCAAGTTTTAATGCAACAAATTCTTTATTTGAGGAGAACTTCTTCAATCAACAATACGATTCATTAGTTGAATTTCATTATGCTGAAGATTTACACAAACCAGTCACTGAAGTGACAGCTACAACTGAAACAGGAACAACGAGGAAATTTCATAAATCTCGGCCTGTTGATCGTACTTCGACTAAAACTGATGCTGATGCTCACACATTCTCTGTAAGAAATGTTACGAAATCTCGAAAATTGATACATCGCTTATGTGAAGATGTCCCATGTGTGTAAGTTCATCTGAATTCATTTGTGAATATCTCCTACCAAACCAATATTTATTTTTCCATTTTGTAAATGTAATTGCTCCCATCTAGACCGTTTAGAAAATCCATTAGGAAACACATCATCAGTGATCATTTTACTATGTATACCTTAGCTATATATCTGCTTTATATTTACCTCTTCATTAACACAATCCTTGTACAATTAAGAGGTTTTTTTCTATCTTCTTATAGACTTATATATTTACTAAACAACTACAAATCTAAATGTACGGCTTAAGTAAATGGTACCGCTTTTGTTAACCAGAAATGACTACAAGATCTTATCTCTACTTTAATTGTACCTTGAAATCTCTGAACTTCAGGTTGTGATGCTAAAACCTCAGCACCTGGATTGTTCATGAATAACATCTTGAATCAGTCTGAATGTTTCAAATCTTGATCTCTATTTAGTTTCTAATTATTCATATGGAAGACGTGGTTAACTATGCGATGACTCAGTCTCCTATGTTTCAAGCCATATTTCTATATTTAAGTTCTCTGCTTTGTACGATTGTGCGTTCACTGATACTGTTAAAATTTATTTGACAAATAGTGCAGTTCGCAAGTAACGATCATAATTCAAACACTAATTTCAGATGCTTTATAGTGTAGGAGCGGGTTGGAAGAAAGCTAGGGCCGGCCAGACCCAAACATGGCATAAATCCATGAAGTCGCTGACAAGTGGACTGGGCCATGTTGGTAGATGTAGACTGCCTGGTTGGGATTCGCGAGATGATAGCAACCGATGGTTAGAGACCTTGAATGACATGGCTCAAAATCGTTTGCAATGGCGAAGGTGCATCCACTCTTTGTGTTCTCCCAAATTCTAATCTTCTGAATTCTTCATGTCCCTATCTTTTTTCTCTTTCCAAACTTATTTAACTGGATTATACTCCTTGAAGAGCATCTTCAAATCCTAATCTTTCGGATTACTGCTTATACTCTTATTACTTCTACCAATATGGGATTTGAATCGACAACTGTATCTCTGTGCTAATGTGGTATGGCAACTCGAACTGATGTACGTACGTATGAAGTTCTACGTTGTAACTGACTGACTAATTTCAGATGTGTTCACTCAACCTTGAACTAAACTGTATTGTGCGACATGTGAGAACCCTGCATATGTTTGTACAACATAGTAGATAAGGATTTATGGTTTAGAGGTTCCTGAAAATACTAAAAGTTGGATGATTGGAAGTCATTGTAGTCATCATGCGCATTTCCGTTCACCATTGTATGATAGTTGGAAATTATGTAACTAGAGGCGAGGCCTCATGATATAAACAGCCTGATTATTGAGCACTATAGATTTGCGTGAATGATGTCTCCTCTGAAACTATATATTCATGATTTAGAGATTCCGGTTTGACCTATAAGGTGGTCAGTTGGAATCCTATTCCACTTAATCTCGTTAGTGTTTGTCACAAACTGTGTGGATTGAAGCTGAGTATGTTAATCATTACTCGACTAACCAGCTACTTGAATTACGTTTACTGAAAATATGTAAACTGAGCTAACAACTTATCAAATATCGTTTTCCTGGTGTTCTGGAGTGGCCGCAACGATCCGACGCTATTCGCTTCCCAAACGTTTTACTATTCCTTAATTGTTTTGTTGAGGAATACTTTTAAATCTGTTAAATTCCAAAATTATCGTTTGTGTGTATTTGGTTGTTTTAATTTGATTTTCGCTCAGTTCACGTGGATGCGAACAACATTCCTCACCATCTTCAAGCCCATTGACAGATATAACTGCGGTGCCTAATGTTTCAGTGCATGGTCACCCTCGTACTTCATCCGATCAACGAGAACATCACGACTATGAAATAGGAAAGAGTGGATGTTATTTGAAAGATGATTTACATTCGGTATCAAATCATCGTTTGAATCGCACTCGTCCTGTATCTATACGGATGCTCGATCGACCTGATTTCCACCTAGCTATATCTGGAAAAACATGGGCTATCATTCGAGAATATTATCCGTGGCTTATACCAAAGGTGAGTAATAATTGGATTATCAACATACATCATCAAAGGTAGTTTTCAAATAGACATAATCCTTCGAATTATTATTGAGGTGAACTCGTGATCCTTAGCGATCGTTAGTTAGGTGTTAATTTCAAGCCTCCTATCGTTTCTGTAGAGAAATGTATTGTTCACACAGCAGATGTGTTTTATGTAACTAAAGCATTATGTGAGTTGATAAGCATCGATATCAACCCAATAATGGACATATTGTCATTCGTTATGATGTAATTTTTATTGTGTAAGTGATAGATTCATCATAGTACCCCCAAAGTGTATGCTAAAGTTCTGTTATAACGCGAAATATAGCGTATTGCGATAGGACTACGCGAAATTCTACCGATTGACCAAATTCAGATATCCTAGTTCGACCCCAATACTGTTTCCCAACTCCAATAAATCAGAACACAGCCGTTAAATGAGAATTGTTTATGGAGTCAGCAGCAGAACAAAATTGGTTTACAGACAAGGCATATTTATACAGTTACGATGACTATTAACAGTACCCAATGGAAAGAAAGGACACGTAAAGGTTATAATTAGGACGACTCAAAATTGACCAATAGGGAAACGACTCATGAAAGTCATAGTTAGGACACTGTAAATAATGGCCAATAGGAAATAACATGCGAATTATGTGAAGAGTCTGGAAACATACCATTTTACATTCGAGATAATTTTTGGGATATTCTTGTGAATATCCTAACAAGTTCAAAATAATGTATATACACGTATATACACGTTCAGCTTTGTGTACTTTTCGATAGACAATGCTTAGACGTCTCTTGATTGGACCACTTCATCATTGTAAAGGATTTGAGTGCTTAATCTTTAATTTTGCGTACTTTATTATGCAAAATACATTCAATGTACAGTCAAAACAGTGTGATAACGTAATGTCGTGACATAAACAAGTTTTGTGCTGTTTTACTGAAACGGAAAACGCATCCAATTTTCAGTTTTGATATTCACGCATCTTACAGTGTGTACATAGTTACATTAACGTCGATGTAATATACAGTATTCTTTCAACAGTACTAACTAAATGATTAGCATACGTTTATGACGTGTTGGCGTTTTGTTGACTGGTTTTGAAATAATTGTCTACTTGGTGTTTGGTGGTTGGAGGTAGTCGATAAGAAAGTCTGAACCTGGGTTACTTGCTAGCTACCACTTGTCTGCGAGGTGAACCGGTAATTCTGAGAGTACTGTTGCCCTGAGTATGATTGAGATCGTAATGGATAGAATTCGGTCAGCGTTCAAAGGACTAGACAGATACAATATCTGTGACTAATCAATTATCAGCCAATTGTAAGCTGTCCACTTGTTATGAAAATACAGTATTTTTCACCAAAATTTGGATCGACTCAGCGTCGTTGTATTTCATTAGTCTCACGATTTTCAGATCTATTTCACTTCTCCTAAACTGATGGGATCTCATCACATCTTTCTGAACGGTGATCTAGACTACCGAAGGATTGGTAAGGATAGCACACTTTTCTGCATACGTTTTCCTGTTCCTTTCGAGATTTATCCACCTTTCAATTTATTTTCAGTTTCAAACTGTGAGCTTTTCAATGTTAACAGCACTATTGTGTTTATATTTGCTTCTAATTGTTTTTCCTCTCACTCCTTTTTGTGTTTGTGTTTCTCAGCTTGTAGTCAAAGGCACTGTATTTGCTCGTTTTCGTCCGGAACAAAAAGCTCAACTGATTGAATCACTTCAATCAGTTGGTTATTTTGTTTCAATGTGTGGTGATGGTGCTAACGATTGTGGTGCATTGAAAGTAGCACATGCTGGAATTGCATTAAGCGAAGCTGAAGCCAGTGTTGCTAGTCCTTTCACATCGAAGCAACAAAATATTAGTTGTGTACCGACACTTATTCGTGAAGGTCGTTGTGCGTTGACTACTAGTTTTGGTGCATTTAAATTTATGGTTGGTTATTCAATGATCCAATTTTTCTCTGTTATACTATTATATTATGTAAGTTTGGTCCTGGTATTTTTTCTTTGAATTCTCAGTTTTTTCTTTGGTGTCACTCAGTGAAATTAGCAAATTATTTATATTTTTGCTGATCTGTGACATCATTATTGCTAATTTTTTATGCCGAAATTTATCTGCATTATACAGTGGCTGAACTTGACCAAAGAATTTTTGTGTTATGTAGATAACTCAGACTGATTTTTTTAAATGAAATGTTGTTCGTTATTAGTTGCGTTATTTCAGAATAATCTGTCAGTGTTCTGTTTATTCATGACTTATTTATTTAAACACATATATATTGTGTCCAGGATGTCGTCGATGGCAAAGTTGAAGAGGAATGGTGAGATCGTGCAACCCTGCCTAACCCCACTGCTCGAATGGAACAAGGGAGAAAGGTGGTTGTATACCCTCACTCTGCCTGAGGTGTTCGTATACAGGGCCTTTAAGATGTTAATGAACTTCTCAGGCACACCCTTCTTCAATAGACAATCCCAGAGAACAGTCCTGTCCAACGAATCGAAGGCCGCCCTGATATCAAGAAACACTACGATTGTTGGCCTGCGATGAGTATGACGGTGTTCTAACATTTGGCGGAGGGTGAAGATGTGATCAATGCATCCTCGACCAGAACGAAAACCAGCCTGCTCCTCGCGAGTCAATCGTTCTCGGGTTTTAAACAACCTACGAAGAATGATAGAAGCCAATAGTTTGGACGCAATCGAAAGTAGACTTATCCCCCGATAGTTGTTACAGGAACAACGTGAACCCTTTTTAAAGATAGGGACGACTATTGACTCATTCCATGATGTTGGAACACTTTCTTGCTCCCAAACCTTTCCAAACAACACAGTCAATTCCTTAGTCAGGAAGTCACCACCATCTTTAAAAAGAGCCGGAGGTGCGTCATCTGGGCCCGGTTATTTGTAGCACTTCAGGAGTTGGAGTTTCTTGCGGACTTCCGCCTCGTTTGGTGGATCAGTCGTCACCGGCCATTGGGGGCAGGACAAACTGGTTGATGTTGCCGGAGCAGCAGGCCAGTTGAACTGCCGTTTGAAAAATTCCGCCCATCGTCCAAGACGTCGAGAAATGTTAGTGATTGGCGTCCCATCATCCTCGTAGATTGTTTCACTCACACCAGACTTCTTGCTGCCAGTGTCTCGGATGAGTTTGAAGAGCTTCCAGGAGTTACCAGATGCAGCTGCTGCTTCCATCTCATTAGCACGCTCCGACCACCAGGCTTCCCGGTCCTTACGCAAGCTTTGCCCGATCTCACTACGTAACAGCCTTCGTTTGTGGTCAAACTCACGGCCACCCGGAGTAGACCGACGGCCTTCCATCAGTTGTAAGGAGCCAGAAATAATAATAATGTAAATAATCTTTCTTCTATTAGGAACGAGTGTAGTTAGTGGAGTACGTCATTTCATGTCATTTGTGTGTGGTCTTTGATACTGTCCGGGTGCCCAAACCGAAGCAGGTGGTTTTCTTATGGGGCCACACCCCGAGCCTTTGACCTAAAGGTCTGATCCACAAGGCTGTGGAGCATCGTGAGGAGATGCAGTCCCATGGTAGTCGGTGACCAACAATTGGTTCATACGCCATTCGTTCCATCAGGATCCTAGAGCCCATGTGCACCATTGGTTTGGAATCAGGGTTTTCCAACTCCCCTAGGTGGACTTCCCATGTCCACCGGTCCGGTTAAAGTGCCGGACATTCGATTTTCGTCCTCTCGCTTTTGTGAACAACACCCCTGCCACGAGAAGGCAGTGAGTAGAACTTCTCTGACAGAGGCTATATATTCGCGTGGCCATGTGAGAGCATTTTGAGAGGGAGAGCGGACTCTCCCCACTCTCGGCCGTACCAGGGCATTTGGGTGCTTATACATGACTAAATATCTGTAACATCAGTAGTACTTTTATGCCTTTATTTTGCCGTTTTGTTAGTTTTCAGTTTTAGTGTCCATTTCACAGGTGATTAGTCTCAGCAATTATTTGTCTGTAAGAGAGAGAGAGAGTATCTGCTGTTTCATGAGGCGTATGAAAGTTTGTAATTTTAATTATTCACCACTGGTCACATGTTACACTAAATCTGCCAGTTCATTACGTGTAAGCCTTTTTAATGTGGAAGAAAACCCTTCATATGGTTTTGATCATCTGTATAACTGCTTTGTCAGTCGTTCAGTCAGTCAGCTACAACGTAGGATCAGGCACATATATGCATCAGTCCAAGTTGCCATATCTCGTTAGCACAACAAGATGAACACCGAATTCATAGTAGTTAATTTAGTGGTGGTAATATATAAAAGAAAGGTTGTATATAAGGATATAGTATAGGAAGGAAGACAGATGTGAAGCAGTTTTAATCTCAAGGTTTGAGGGAAGATAAAGTGTATACACCTACACCATTGTGATCGATTCTGAGCCATGTCACCTAGAGTCTCCAACAATTGGTTACGATAGTCGCGCGGACTCCAGTAGTCTGCATCTGCCAACATGGCTCAGACTAGAAGTTAGTGACTTCAAGGACTGATGCCATGTTTTGGTTTGGCCGCTGCGCAGTATACTCGTCCCTTAATTGATAGACGGATATCTCGTCTTCGCCATAGGTGACGTAAGTTGGCAAAAGCCAAACGAGCTTTTTGAATCCGTGCTGAGATTTCTTCAGACACCAACCCATTAGTGCTAATCAGACTTCCAAGATAAGTGAAATTGTCAACGCGTTCGACTACTTCACTCCCTATCCTTAGTTCAGGTGTTGACGCAAGCCAGTCCTGGAGTAACAATTTATAGTCGTTCAGAACATAACGAAATCTGACCATAGAATAAAACACATTTTTATTTTTTGTGTCAAGCTAAATATTAGTTTTGTGTTTCGCGAGTTCACCTCAGTCGCAGTGTACACGCACATCCTAAATTCCTGGCGGATTCCTTATGCTAGTTAAAAGTCTTAGAACGATTCGGAAGATTTGATTACCATACCAAACAATCTGTACACAACTTAAGTATATATATGTTATTGGTTTACATAAGTGATTTATGGGCTGTGACGTTGATCAGGTGACTAAATCACTCCAAATATTTGAATTGTTTGTACTTCTCACCTACCAGTTACCTTGACATGTGTAACCTTTCTGGCCGGGCTTGTCATTAGATCTCATTCCCTAACTTTGTGTTCATAAGCATCGTTGCTCATTGACTTTATTAAAAGGTATTTCGAGTTATAACCACCCACCACTTACTATAAATTACTTTATTACTGGGCTATTTACAATCAAATGAATATTGAATCAATCGGCTAATACTTACTTACGCCTGTTACCCCTCATGGAGGAGCATAGGCCGCTCACCAGCATTCTCCATCCAACTCTGTCCTGGGCAATCCTTTCCATTTCTTTACAGTTGTTATTCATCCTTTACATATGTGCTTCTATTTCCCGACGTAATGTGTTCTTTGGCCTTCCTCTTTTCCGCTTCCCTTCCGAATTCCAAGTTAGGGCTTGCCTCGTGATGTAGTTTGGTGATTTCCTTAATGTATCTCCGATCCACTTCCAACGTCCTTTCCTAATTTCCTCTTCATCTGGTAGCTGGTTTGTCCTCTCCCATAAAACGCTATTGTTGATGGTATCCGGTCAGTGAATGTTGAGTATTTTGTGTAAACAACTGTTTATAAATACCTGTACCTTCTTGACGATGGATGTAGTAGTTCTCCACGTTTCAGCTCCGTACAGTAGAACTGTGTTGACGTTCCTATTGAAGATTCTCACTTTGAAGTAAGTTGAGAGTTGTTTTGAGTTCCATATGTTTTTCAATTGTAGAAGTGCTGTCCTTGCTTTGCCAATCCTCGCTTTTACATCTGCATCCGATCCTCCTTGTTTATCAACGATGCTTCCCAGGTACGTGAATGTTTCCTCCTTTTCGAATGCTTCTTCAAATGTGATCGGGTTGATGTTCTCCGTGTTGTATTTGAGAATCTTGCTTTTTCCTTTGTGTATGTTGAGGCCTATTGATGCGGAGGCTGCTGCTACATTTGCTGTCTTCATCTGCATTTGTTCGTGTGTATGAGAGAGGAGGGATAGGTCATCTGCGAAGTCCAAATCATCTAAATGATCCTGAGATGTCCATTGTATTCCGTGTTTCCCCTCCGATGTCGAAGCCTTCATAATCCAGTCAATCAATCAAAGAAAGTGGAATTGCGAGAGTAGACAGTCTTGTCTGACTCCGGTCCTTACTGGAAATGCATCTGTCAGCTGTCCTCCATGCACGACTTTGCACTGTAGACTGTCCTATGAGTTCCGGATAATGTGGACAATCCTCTGAGGAACTCCATAGTATCGAAGAAGTTTCCATAATGTTCCCCGATTCACTCTATCAAACGCCTTCTCACAGTCAATGAATCGGCAAATAATTTCATTTTGAAATTACTTCCTTTTCTTATGCCCTAATACATTTATAATCACACACTTTATTTTCCAATACATTTCTCATGTTGTGTTTTCTCTTCCTTCTTATTTTTGCTTCGTAAACAGTAAAATTGTGAATTTTGTTTACCCAAAATACGCTTTTTTTCATTTACCACATCAACTACATTTTATAGAACACATTATTCATGTGACTAGTGAATAATTTGTTGTTTTTTTTGGAGAAAAACTGTTCCTCCCAATAAAATGTAGTAAATTTTTTTGATTACCAGCCTAGTAGTCTAGTGATTTGTTAGGACTTTTGTCAAATGTACCTAATGTTTTTATTTTGTAAACGATGATTGTCCTCGTAAGGTTTCATCATTTTACAAAATGGAATATATTTTTCTGTTTAGTTCAAACTCTGTTGAATTATTACGAAAATTAATTAAATCTTTGAAGTTCTTAATTATTATTCTAGCACTCTGGATTCATCTGTTATTCTATAAATTTGTCGTAGGTTTTTTGTCGAAACCATTTCAGTGTGTGTGTGTGTGTAACTATGGTCTCTCAGCATTTTAAAGAAATTGAATGTTTAATGAAATGTACTAAGACTTCCGGCTGCAACACGTTTTATTTTTCAGTGAATTATAATAAGGTATTTCATATACGGTAATCATGTCAGTTTTAATTTGGGATTCCTTCATTTGATGGTCTTCATATGTTTGTAGTTGGTGTACTTGTTAACTTTCAGTCATTTAGACATTAACACCGTTGGGTGCTGGCTCAGTGGTCTATCGGTTAAGTGCTCTGGCGCGAAACTGGTAGGTCCTGGGTTCGAATCTCGCGAGGCGGGATCGTGGATGGGCACTACTGAGTAGTCCCACAGTAGGACGAAACGACCGTCTAGTGCTTCCAGGTTTTCCATGGTTGTCTAGCTTCAATTGACTCATGATCTCAACTATATAAAATTACTAAATTCTCCACAGAACCACATTCTGATATTTGTAACTTGACAAAATAAGTATAAACTAAATTACTAAATACAATAGAACACTTTATTAAATTAAACTGTCAATGGTCGAATTTTTTAATTATAAATGTAACATTTATTTTAAACAAGAAGATGAATAATCCCTCTCTATATATATATGTTCAATTCATTTATATTTTATGATTAATAACTCCTAGAGTTGTTTATCGTAAATGATACTTTGAAATAACGTTAAAATAGTCCATTGATCTCTTGATTTCCTCAAGTTTTGCTGACTGTTCATGTGGAAAGGTGGTTTGCTGGTTAACCGATTTCATTCATACTGGTGGTTGCCTTTCAGTGTTCTCACCGACTATTGTCATTGGAGCATTATAAGGCATATCGCCATTGCTAACAATAATCAGTTTGACTATCGTATAAGCGGAATGGGTCAACTTTGGCCTGTTCATGCTGTGCATAATTGATTTACGTGATAAGCAGCTGTAACAAATATTTTTTATTTATAAATGACCTACCGATGATTGGGTAGAGGTGTCAAACTCTATTATCATTAATATTGAATGAATTCTTTTATGACCATGAACCAGGATTCCATGTGATTGTAATTCAGTCGTTGTGACCTACTTTCGTAATCATAAATTTTAGTAGATAATTTCTGTATTGATGTAATGGATTATAAGGAATAAATTCGTTATTTGTTAAACTTTGAAATTCTTTCTTTGTTATGTATATTCAATACATTATATCGCCTTTCATATTCAAACGACAGATTCATGTATTTATTTTTGACGCCTACTGTTTGTGTAAGAGACGTTGATTCTACCAGTGTTCTTAAGTTGACGTGATGAAGTAGGATTCGAGCAAGTTACTAATTGCTTGTAAGCCAAATGCTCTAACAGATAAACTGCTGTCTATACATCATTGAGATTCAGAAAAGTATGACTGCTGGTGTAAGGTCAATTGTTGTTATCTGGGATTTGAATAAACGGTAGTTTTGAATACAATCGTAATAGTAATAATAGTATTGGTAGAGTTTTCAACCACTATTCAAATTTTTATCTTTTTGTTATTTGTTGATTACTTCGTGAACACGTTTCGAATCAGTTTCACGAATTCAAATAGAGTGTCGTTATATGACACTGATGGCAAACAACAAGAAGACTTGAGGTCCATTGTTGTATGATTATACACTTCCCATCCAACTCAATGTTTGACTGGTACATACCATGATTACGGTGTTGAATGAATTCATCAACCGTGTGCCGGAATTAAGCCTAAATATACTTTATATTTGCACAATGATTCTCATTTCAGATTGCAAATCAAGACATATGATTTAAGTAGGTATTAATAGTGTTCAGCAGAATATTCTCTCTTTTAGACGAATTGTACATGTAGTGTTTCATATATCGAAAAATAATGTAGTTTGAAAATGAATCCAAATAATAAATTCTGATAGCAAATTAAGCACTTGTTTTCTTTGTTCATTGTATTATACTTGGTAGTTATAACTGTACATTATTTTTACAATTTTTGTCTTCATTTTTCTCACTAGATTGGCAGTAATATTTCTGATCTGCAATTTTTATTCATTGATCTTTTCCTTATCACAACTCTGGGTCTTACGTGTAAGTTGAGCAAGTATTTCTTTATTCTCTGATTTTGTTTTGCTAACTCTCTTATTGAAAGATGATGAGATGGTTAAGTGATACGTGTTTCTATTTTGGCTCATTTATTTTTATACCACTGTCGTATATATTGAGTTATTATTATGGTTTGTCAGTTTGTATATTGAAATTGTCCTCTTATCTGAAAAAAAGTGTAAGCCTTTAAAATGTCACTCCCCATATTATTACTATTTGTGTGCTTTCAAGTGTTTTTATGCTCTTTCCTTATGGATAATATTGTTGAATTCAAAAATGTAATTAAATTAATTACCAAATATATTCATAGAACAAATCGTGGATTGGTGTTAGTCAATAATTGACAATTATCCACCGCAGGTATTGGAAAATAGTCCGGCGATATCGCGAAATGATTCAACTTAGACACCATTCGATGCCTTCTCCGAGGTTTATAAGTTTAGCGCTCTCAGCTTACCTGAATGTCCTGGGTTCAAAATTTCGTACGGAGGAGTCGTGGCTGTTCACTTTTGATGGGTCCTATATTAAGACGAAAAAGCGCCTCATTACCTCCTGGTTTTTAATAGTTGTCGAACTTAAATTTAATCTCTGAAAATCCAACCGTTGTCACAGAGAGCCTATAGTGATGAATAAATATGTTTGCATGTATCATTTGTTAGATTGCATGAATATGCGCACATATATGCGTTGGAACAAAGCTGAAAACAGTCGAACCAAAACGTGACGCTAGTTCATGAAGCCATTGTTGTACTGAGTCCTGTATTTAGGCGCAGATTACCTCATTGAGTTCCTCGTGATCACCGTAACTACTGGTTTGGAGACAATTGGTTTGTCTGAGAATTAATTTCGATATTACACTGACATTTACTTATATTGCCTCAGGCCTTAAGTTTTTAAATTATTTTATACTTTATTCCACAAATTTACTCTTCTTGAATCATACTGTTTATGCATATTTTTTCCTTATTGCATTGATACTGTTACTGCTTCTTTTTCTTCTATGGGATCCTTACTGCTATGATTTGGCAACTTGTTTCGGTGAACATATACCCTGGGTTCTACGTCACATGATTGACGAACAGTCAATCTATGTTCTCTTAATTATGATGGCCTATTCTATTTATATATGATATGTAGTAAATATCTGAATCGTTTGAAACGAGGGGGTCACTTTGATCAGTAGCATCATATTTGGTAACCGACGTGCATATTTCTCGTAACATGAAAACGTTTTTTTCACTTCATGGTCATAAATTTGTTGTAACTCTCTGATTTCAGTCTCATGGTAGACCGGGAAATTGTTTTTAAACATTCATTTGGAAGTTTAGGCTACGTAAATGGTGGCCGATACATATTAGCAATCGGCATACGTTGTTTTTAAAAACTTTTCCCTACAGTGTTACTTTCTTTTTTTCATTTTGACTAGCTGATTGTATGATGTTTCTGAATAATTGCTCGGTGCTCATTCCTATGTTGTATTTTGCTTTCATGGAGTTTACTTTCATTCTCCTGGACTACTTGACTTTAATTTAATTATTTCGACTAACTTCATTTCTTTAGCGACGCTTTTGTCATGCTTCATATTTGAGTACCTCTGTTTTTGAAAGCACTTACTTTTTATAAATCTGTAATGTCAAATCTAAACTTCTTAGTCATATGTATTTATGCATATTTCTCCCTAAACACATACAACTAGTGTTATAATAACCTCGATTAATTAATATTTACATTGTTCCACTATTATTGATCAGTATTTTAGAACTCCGGTGTCTATTCTGTGAATGAGCTTTTCCAACCCACTTCACATTAATAACATATTAAAATTACTTACTTTGCTTGGATAATGGTCTACAGCTTGAAGCTACATACTGTAATTTCTTCCAAGTACTTCATCACAAAATCTATTTCTATCTATTATGCATGTTTTGTTTTGATTTGTTTGAAATTCTTATCTTCAACCTAATGTACATGTGCATTTGTAAATTTCTTTGCCGCCAATTTTAATCACATTATTATCTTTTTTGTAACTACTAATCCACTCAACATATAGGATCTCATGATATTTACACAAAGTATTTTTTTCTAATTAGCATTCAAATTTTATTTTTCTGTCTCTCAGCCTCTTTTTCAGGTTAATTTTTAGGATAAAGTGTTGTTTAGTCCCATTTATGTTCCATTTTCGTATTAAATATTTCATTACCATATCGTATTAAAAAATGGTAGTTTTTCATCTTATTTCCTTCCTTATATGAATTAGAGAATTTTCACCATTCAAAATTGGTAAGTTGACCTTCATTTACTTGTGGACGGTTTTTGTCACTTACGGATATCAGTTTAGATAGCTGTGTGAACCAAGAAGAACTGAATAACTCTTCGTAATATGGGACTTTTCATTACTGCATACCCACAATTCTATCTAGAATCAAACTTTATGAAGTTCGGGTCTCTCGTCAAACACTTAACCCTTAAACCATTGGAATGGAACGGCTAAAATGTCTTTTTTACAACTTTTGTTGTTGTCGTTAATGAGCGCTGCTGAGTAGTTCTGTACTAAAATAACAACTGTTCAATACCTCTTGATTTTAGTGATGACTCTACCTGTGTAAATTCATAATGTGGACCACTCGGAAACGAAAGTCATCTCCGTAGAACCTCTTAATCAAAAATAAAATATTTTCCTGTTAGATATTATTATTTTTCGTAACCCAAATTAAGCTATCTTTAGGTATACACACTATGAGGCAATTCTAAATTGAGAATGAGTCTACATTTTTAAATTGTATGTTGACAATACTTCTGTTTTCCTATAAAAGTTTTCTTTGCAAATATATTAAAAGATCATTATCCCTATATATCCGTATCATCGGATCGCAATAGAATTTTGTACCGATTTGTATTAAAATGGTAATTGTTAGTGAAACATAGATCGGATTAAAACGTGTTCCATGCACGATCGTGTTGGTGCACGCTAATTGGCTATTTCTTATCCAACCAGCGCTAGTCGATACTTGGAGAAGACTCTAGAATCTTCTCATGTAAAAACTATAAATATACTAACGTATTTCTTATTGCGCTTCTTACTTCATCTACCCCTTGTTAATCGGAATATAATTTTTTTCCTGTTCAATCGTGTTCTGGTTTGGGGACTTTTCGAGTTAATTGATGTTCAGGAATACTAAGCAATAGGGATAGCTGGGTCGTAATAAGAAAAATTATAACAGTAATATATTGACTAAACGGCAAAAAAGTTTCGAGACTAACAAATAGAAGTCGATATAGTTGATGTCACTAGACGTGACTTTTTTTGCTTTTAGTGTTGGGTAGTACTCATAAGTTTCTAAATAATTGTATGATTTTGATTGTATTGTCTTCTGTAACATTTTGTAGCGTGCTTTTAAAGTCAGATACTGTCACAACATTATTGTGTTGGAATATCTGCTGAGGTTTAGTGGGAAAAAGATAGTGGTCAATGATGAATCCTAGTATGAATAATAATTTTCACAGATGTCAGTAGTCTTGGAAGTTGTGTTGTCACACGACCGAACCTTTAAGATATTTAATTATCATTGATTTGGTATTCTAGGAACACATACTTTACCTCACAAAACCATCTAAAATTTACTGTTGAATTGCATAGTTTGATGGTCCATTTCGTCCCATCATGTTATCTAATTATGTAGACTACTACTAGAGTATTAGAATTTTTTAGTTAATCACTGCTACCCTGAGGAAAATCAGTGTAGTTAGTAAGGAAGTAACGTGTTACCTATCGTCACTCATCAGGCAAAAATAGTCATACAATAATAATCCTTAAAAGTGTAATGATCGTTGTTTGAAACCAGTTATCAACGTTGTATTGAACATATCTTTTTAGTACATTAGTGCTCACTGTACACGCATATTTTCCTCTGCTGATATCATCCCTTACTTTGGTTTACTTGAAATCCTAATTTTCATCATTTTATTGATTCCCACAAGGTATTGCCAAATTCTATGTCACTGTATGTTTTTTTTCTTCAAATCCCCCCATTGAGAGTTATCATCTTGAGTAGTTTCTTCATGCCTTATTTTCCCCTACCTAATTGTACAAATCTCATAAAATTTGATTGCTGTTTTCATACTATACTTCCAATATTTGTATGTGGTATTTGCAATAAATTTGATTAAAATTACTTAATGTAGCTTATTTATGAGGTGGATGTGAGTTTATTCAGGTTTGAGCTTTACTACATATGGTGATTGTCAATGTCTACTCAGCTGCTCGAACCAAAACTGGTGATGTAGGAATTGTGGTTATTTGTACAACATAATGGTAGTTGAACTGCTTCGGCGCTCTTCCGAAAAAAGGCTATTTACGGATTGTATATTGACTCATACCTTTTAATCAAAACGGTCTTATTAACTGTTGATACCACCCCTATTTTTCATGAAACTGGCCATTGTTTACCAATAAGAATAGTATAGTTTAATTTCCCATTGTGTTCAGGTCATCTTAAATTGTTGGGTGATAATCTAAAATGATTTGTGTACTGTTCTGGTTGTTTCCGTGTTTTCTCATACTTTTTCCATGCGATAATTTATTCTCATCATAAATTTGACATTTCACATAAAGCCTCACGAATAGATGACCTTACTGGAACTATCGTACTTTACATGGACTGATTTGTGTTTCCTTAAGTTTACCTTAGTTTCTCTCTATCCATTCCTGAACCATTGAAATTTCACGAATACCACTGCGTTTCTTCAACAGAATTTCCCTCTTATCAATAGTATTCCCTGCAGTGTATTCATGTTCTCAATAGCAGACACTATTTACTTATTGTGGTTGGGTTCGTTTTATTTTTGGAATACAAGCTAGTCCAAACTACATTAATATCTTTCATTGATATGTCACTACATTCATTTGGATTTGAACATGATCCTAAAAATTGCATATAATTGTTAGTGTTCAGGTAGAACGACTACTCTGTTGCGATAAGTCTCATTGAAGTTCATGTGACAAATACAAATGTAATACAAACGCGAAACGAGAAAATCATTTATGTGACTTAATTGGTGTAAAACGTTTGTTTGTATGCAAAACGTCACGTCTCAAGAAGCGAAATGCTTTTCATGCAAGTGGTCTAGCTTAAATTATTTGAATTATTCAATGGTCATTCTCCTTAATTTCATGAATGTTATTTACTGGTTATTTTTAAAAAGAAGTATTGATTTTTTTTCATTAGTTGGTTATACTCCGGCGTATCCTCGTCTCTCGGTGGAACCTCCTGGGATGCGATTAGTGTCAACTGTGACCTTGTTATCATTGGGTTTGCAGTTACTCACTTGTGGTGTTGTACAATTTTCAGTCTTCGTGTTCACTCGACTACAACCATGGTTAGTGAATATGTTTATATTGTTGTGACGTTTGTCTGTAGCAACGGTTTGTATTGGTTGTTGTGTTAATATCTGTTTTAAACACCTGTCAGTGCACTAACTTGATAATCGTGATGAAATTGATATATTCTATTGTTTCGAAAATTATTTAAGGCTTTTTGCATCCATTGGAATGTTGGTAGAGGAACATATAGACTACTGTTATCTTGTTAGCGTACTCCGCTAGGTAGTATTACTGTGTGGAAAGACTTTTATGGATTGATTTGGCAGTCTTTTCATTCGAAAGTACGTTGTCGCTTCATGCAACTCCCTTGATTGTTATCATCATTATCCTTTATCTCTTTGAAGGTATTTACCCCTGTTTACTTATCATGAAGACTATGAATTAAAAAATTATGAAAGTACGGCCGTATTCTCCGTATCTGTCTATCAATATATTATATTGGCTATTGTATTCTCTAAATCTGCACCATATCGTCGATCAATTCTTTCTAATCGTAAGTTGTTTCTTTTTAGTTAATATCTTATATTGTCCAAATTAATCATTATTATTATTCGTTTGACCTTTCATGATTAGATCGGCCTTTCAAGTATGATTTGGTTGTTTGACGACTGCCATCAGCTAGTACGAAATCTAGGTTTAGAGTTTCCGGTTGGTTGTTTGAAATTATCGGAAGATAGCTTATGCGATGACAAGTCATTTAGACTAGATGCAAGTTTCCAACTTAGTCGATATAATCAGTGTACATTTGCACTTACTCTATTCAGATTATGGAAGGTAATTTACATGATTCACATTTCTCACTATATTGTTACTTGAATAGAGTGAGTATATATTCCGTAACATTCAGCTCAGTTATCTAGTTGTGTTGAAGAATGCAGAGTCTTTGTATTGTAAGTGTTCTCATATGATGAAGTTGTTTGACAATCTATTATACGAAACGTCATGTATTGATTTTGAAGCTAAATTTTCTTCTTTACAAAGGAAATTCGACTGTATGTTTGTCTGTTGTGTGGTACTTACCATATTCCTAAAAGTGTACAGTGACGTTCGTTTGTCAACTAAGGCTATTGTTCTTTCATATAGATATGTTCATTTTGTTGTCATTCTGATGTGTGAATCGGGATAGTCGTACCGGAATTGAAATGTGTGAAACTTATCTGCCCAGCCCATGTTGGATTGAGCGTTTGAAGCGAAGGCACTGCGTTCGAACCAGAATGTGGAGATCAACACTGGGATGCAGGTATATCCTGCTGACGAGTACCATGGAGGTTGGAATGCATGTTCTAAATTCCACTGTCAGCCACAATCCTCCTATTGTGTACAACCTCCATAAGTTGTCGTAGTCTTTACTATTGATTGAGGCAGATAATAGTATGAACTTCCCTTTATGTTCACAATCATAATATGTTTATTGTTGCATGCAATACATGGTCATATGTTATACATAAACTTCATGAATACGTCGATAATTTTAGGTAGATATTTTTTTTTACCTTGGTTGTAACTACTAATGGGCAATTGTCATTTTCTCTATGACTTTCCAATTCTATAGATTTATTCGTTGTGAACCTTATTGCATGTATTGCCGGATCATTATACCTCACATCTCATCCAGCCCGTGTGATTCGCAAATTATTTGAAGTAAGATTTCGATGTTCTTATTGGAGGATGAAAGACTGTGTCATAGTTATTGTTATTATGTTGCAGATCGATAAAGTTGGTTTTCATTGATTAATAATATACTGACCATTCTATTTTCCTAAACTATGTGCATTTGCCGTGATTCCTGAAATGAGGTTCGTGGCTTAGATCCCTGGAGTGTTTGTGGGTGCGCATTTTTGTGATGTTCACTACGTGGCTGAAACAGCTATCCAATGCTTGTTGGTTTTTAATGATACTTCAACTAAAATCGATCTGATACGAATACAACCTATAAGAGAATTGATTTTCTGCTTGATTGTTTTCAGATATTTTTTAGGTTATCACAGTTTTATTTTGTTATCCTTTTGTTTATTGATAGAGAGCCTAATCCACTTTCTATAGAATTTTGTCCTAATAATTCTTAACCATAATTTTCCTTGTTTTCCCAATGAATGAACGATAACTGTTGGGAATAGCTGGCAAACATCCTCCTCATTTTAAATAAAGCCAGAACAAATATTGATGCAAAATAATATGAATTCATTATATTTCGTGGTTTCTCGTCAGCTGTTTACAACCATATATATATTAGAATTTTAGCATTGAGATAATAAATAGTGTGGAACAATTGGTATAAGTGAATGTAAAGGATTGGATTGTAAGCAGCTGACGATAAACCACGAAATGTAATGAATTCATATTATTCTGCATCAATATTTGTTCAGGCTTTATTTAAATTCATAAAAGGAACTTGTTATATCTAGAACTTTGCTTTTTACTATGCCGCGAACTACTAGACTACTTGAACGATAGAACCCGCAACGTCGCAAAAGAGAAGACAAAAGACTAGTAAGTAGGAAGTTTATTCCCCAAATCAGTGTCAAAATATAGTACAGAAATCTCGTGTATTTATAGGTTTTTTGACTGAGAGTAAATCATCATTTAAGACAACCAATAGGCACATAGGGGTCATTCTTATCCATTCAGCTACACATCGACATTCTAGAATATTCCCCTATCAGTGATTGGATGGGATGTCTGCAGCTCTTCCTGGGCTTCGTAAGGCTTCCGAGAGTCTACCGACAAGCCGTCCTTACAGAACAAATTGCATGAAATCCTCCTGATTGTTTGATATGAACAGAAGTATGTATTTCTAACTGATATATAGGCATGTGTGTTAATAGTCAATATATTTGATCTGAACTAATTTTATGCAGCAAATGTGCTCCATCTATGGTATTTCAAGCTTCGACAACTTTATTTCTCTAGTATTCATCAGTGTTATTAACTGGCCTATTCGAATGGTAAGATGATGGAGTTATCCCCTAATTCTTTTATTACAGAGCCACTGGACAAAGTATAATCATAGATTGTCATTATTTTTAAATCTTAGCCGTTACTCATTCCCACCTGTCGAGAAGCCTTGAGTTCCACTGGCATATTCATCATTTATGGTGTTATATTCAAAAACAAGCTTGAGTTTTATGAATATTTATTTACATTTCTGACAGATTTCTTGGATTGTATTTGATGTTATTGATTTTGTTATTTTATTTTCAGCTGTGTCGTTTCCCTTCAGTTTATTTTGTAATAATTCTTCATGGAATAGTATTGGGGAATTTACTATTTGGATATATTTTGGAATCGATCGTTGATGGTGTTTCATTTCGACAACGAATACGTCATATTCAACATGCTTTATTTCCCAGGTATGTCTGCTTTGATAACCTTCCATTTTGTTCAGTACTCGTTGATTTCTATAAATTTAATGAAATGCTCTAACCACTGAATTCAATCAAACTGACATGTGAGGCTAATTCTGAAATACTGATTATTTTGTCGGTAATTAGTAGTATGATATTTTCTTAAGTTAACAATACGACTTAAAGCAATTGGTCCCGTTTATCGATTTTAGTAGAACGCTAAGAAGATGGAGTTCGATATATGTAGTGCAAATGCACCACACTGTTCAGATCAACTCCATGTTCTCTTCGTCCTATCGAAACAATGCGATCATAATGTTGTAGAATCTATGGCAACTCGGAAATCAATCCGTGCAACGTAAATATTGTCTATTGTAATGAGAATCACTTATCATCAATACTTTCATTCCAAGTAAAACAATCATTGAAAGTCTCAGGTATGGAATGGTATATTAAGTAAATAAAATAATCATTTTCAGTATAAGGTTGTGCAGATTGTTGACTTTTTTTGGAATCACGAATCGATCCAAGTTAGACAACGAGTGAGAACGTGAAAGCACTGGATGACAGTTTTATTTTAGCATGAGATTCTTCAGAAGTATACATACATGACCTCTCAGCTGGCAATCGAACTCAGGACCTTCGGTTTTACGCTCAATCGCCTGACCTGTAGGTCACTTTGCAGATGATTAATTTTACAACTATGCAATGTTTTACCTATTATTGCTCATCTAATTAGCCGAACGTTCATACCATTCACTTTTCACACTTCAAAGTCAGTAACAGTTGTCATATAATAAGCATTTTCAGTAAAATGATATGTTATATCGACATGTGGGATAGTACAAGAATTGTACCAGTATTTTAATTAGTTAAACCTTTTAAATATCCTTTTTTGTGACAAACAAATACGTGGGATTGTTCTTATCTAATTTTTATCCACTAGACATGTTTCACGTAAAGACTATGAACACATTCGTGACGAAATAGATAGATTGGCTGGAGTGTGGCCACCAATTATACGATCTGCTAGTGTGCAAGCGTTACCAAGAGAGTTGTTCAATGAATGTGATGTTGTTGGACAAATTGCACAAACATCAAGAAAACGCTATAATTCAAGACTTTCAACTGACAGTGAATCTGATGAAGATTTTATTTCAATTACTTCTGAGGAAAAAGCTGTCCTTTGTAATAGTTTACATGATAATAATATTGTTCATCAACAAGTACCATTGCATTACAATTCTCAATCTCCGTCTTGTGTTTTTGATACTGTGCCGAAAAGTGCGATCGAAAAGTCTGTTAACAAGAAACGGACAAGTTCTACTGTAAGTTTACTACAATACATTGCCTATTTTCTTCACATAGTATAAACTGTAGTTTTGTGGGTCGGTGGATTAATGATTCAGGCATTTAACTGTCATCCACTATGTTTCATTTCTGTGTCCCGCTCTACGTAGATAGGGTTAAGGAGCCGGGTGATGTCATTAACTTCCACACAGAATGTGACTCAAAACTGAGTACATGAATGTTTTCTTTGGTCGATAATCTCCGTTGAAACATTTAGCATTCTATTTTCTCAATGTGGTAGTTACTTCTTTGTGCCAGTAATTATTTCTGCATAGAAAACTTGGGGAAATCTTAATGGAATAAAATGAACTTTTAACAAATGTCCCAAATGATCACGTAATTATAAACTAGATAAGTAGGATGTCAACTAACGCTTGTAACCGAAGAGGTTTTGTTGTGTAAGCCAATAAAAAGCAACTTAAGGGGAATGTGAACTATGAGGTTTGGAATTGATGCACTATTTATACTCAAAACTTTATTTACACTTGCTCTCACTGATGGTGAGTAAAGATCGGATCGCGACAATTCGGATCATCGTTGGACAGCCAATTGACTGGAACTCGTCACTTCAAATCAACTTCCTCGACTATGAGAAATCGTTTGACAGTGTAGATAGACGAACCTCATTCTTCACTATGATGTGTCTGAGAAAAACAAGGGGCACATTGCGTCGGGAATTGGAGATAGACATCAAAAGAATAAATAGAACCTGTAAACAATTGGAAAGGAGAACCGAGGAAAGAGTTGGTTGGAAAATCGTGGTCGGTAGCTTGTGTTCTCATGAAAGGTAACATATGAGACCATCATCATGTAAGACCATCAAGGTAAGAGATCTGTCACTACAAATTTATTGGAAAATTAATTGTGTACAGTGGTTTTAATCTACCTTAGCAGAATGTTTTCTCAACAGAGCCAACTTTAATAGGGCTTTTGTCAGTTCTATGAAGGCCTCGAATTGTCTATTTTCCCCTTGTAAGTAATCCTACTGATCATGTGTATTTTCGGGATGTCTATTTGTAAATTCAATGAAGTGTGTGTTATTTGCATTTCTGTCGAATGACCACGTGATATACTTTTATTCTAAGATAAAATATGGTTTTGTGATTTGCTTTCAATTGCTTCATTTCAGAGCAGCTATAATCGCCATTCGTTTAACACTACGAGAAGCCTTGAAAGCAAAAGTATCAAACGCAATACTTTTAAGGAAAACACTCCTAAACAACAAACGCCTGTAGCACATCAAACACTGGAGGTTGGAGTTCTTACTCCGACTCGACGAGCTGAACGTATTCGATCACAGAGTGGACCAAAACCACTTAGTCCAAATTCTGTTGACCTTCAGTCGGACCCATTCCAATCAGCTACTTACTACTGATAGGATAAGTTTGTCTAGAGGATTCACTTTGTTAGTCTTTCGATGTATAATTTTTAATGTTATCATCAGTCGATGATTTCAAATCAATAACTGTATTTCCCCCTAAATCCCTGTACACAATATGAAGGATTGTTTTTTTCTGTCCGTAATTCCGATGGTTCGTTTTCTTCTCTTACATTAAACTGTGAGAACTTTTCTGTCAGGTCACACTTTGTCTCTCACTCTGTTACAATGACAAGAAATAGTAACCAAAAGCACATATTTAACTCATCCATCACACTTTTCATTCAATTATTCATCATAGTTTTATTTAATAGAACAGAACTATCACGGTTTTATAGACAGAAAACAAAAGATCTTTCACCATCGATAATTTTCTTGTTTACGAATGTTTTTTTCATTTTATGCCACGACACATGTGGTCTATCAGTAATCCCATTATTATATTCTTAATTGCAACAAGTAACATTCACAGGAAATAAACTGTCAAATCAAGTATACCGTACTATCACATATTTTGTGATTTATACCTCGAGTAGGTAGTAATTATCTCATTTCTGTTTGACTCATGATTCCTATGAGTTACATTTATGTACATTTCGTAAGCATCAGGTGAACTGAAACTGGAACAGACTGAAGGGAGGATGCAGGATATTTACAGTTTTTCTCCCTTACTATGTGATCTCGCAAATTATCTAATGTGTTATATGCCATTTTTATTTTGATGTGTATTTTACATTCAATTGCTAAAGATTCTTTCTTTCCATTTTCTCTTTGTCTATAAAATTGAAGTGATATTTTAGTTTGAGCACCAATGTGATGACACCTTGTTCATAATCATAAAGAAATATATTTGATTTGATTGTTTTAGTATAATTAGTAGTGCTATTATTTTGCTAGGTGATGGGTTGTAGAACTCAGTGGTATTTCTGATTTAAAATTAACAGATATTGATAAACCGAATGTGTCCCAATTAATTGTGCCTTAATGGAATTCTCGTCACACCTGACCCCTACCGATTTGGTTTGGCCATCATGTTTACTATTTGCTTGGGTATAATAATCCTGTTACAACATGGTTCCGAATAATGCACTGCACACAAGGGGAGCGATGTTGTATAGAAATAGACGAGGGTAATGTTATACAATCAATAAATAATTAAGGATAATGAGGTCAGAGTACAAAGGACAGCAGAATTACGTTATATTTTCAATCAATACACTTCGAACAATCTGATCACACATATGGTTGTTAAGTCAGTCAGCTACAACGTAGAACTAGGCACATATATACATCGGTTCAAGTTGCCACACCTCATTAGAATTTGTTAAGGTATTATATGAAAAAAGATAAGGTCATTTAGACAAATGAAAGCGACTAATTGTTTTCAATAAATAAATGAATAGAAATAATATTCAGTAAGAGTTACTGTTCAGTTGAAAATTGACAAAGCGACCAGAGATTAAGCTTGACAGTCAAGGCTGCACTAAATAACCTCTAGAGCTCTAACTGGAGTAGTGATAAAACGACTGATCCCGGTCTTATACACCCATTACTTTCTCATCTACAATCTCACAACTTCGTTTTTATTGAGTACGAATGAACAAGAAACAATAGTCACCCAGGATAAAATCTTCGAAACCATTATTGCTCAGTAGCGTCCAAAAATGCATCTTTTTTCTTGTACTACGGTCCCACATATCATATTCCTACAAATCGCTGACAAACTGCTTGTGTATAGCAGGGTTTACGAGAATAATAGTTCAAACGAATGATATAATCTGAGGAACTAAGCTACAACATTAATTATTGACGAAGTCAGTCGTCAACACTTGCGTCTAATATAGTTATACATTGTTGCGAGTTCCCAAACCGTCAGCACAAAGTGAAGGAAGAAAAGCGAATACCACTAAAATACTGCACAACACAAAACGTAGTTTTTATCAGCAATTAATTTGTGCCATAATTTTTGAAGAAATTCTATTACTGACTAAATGTTAAACTATACTTGAAGACTAATTCATAATAAGTGATGTTTACTATGATTATTCAGTAAATCAAACAAACTGGGACCTTATAAGGAGAGATGGATGTACTTCTTAGATTCCACTGCAAGCCATCATCCATTATTATTATAAAGCCAATAATAATAATGGATAATGGCCTGCAGTGGAATCTAAGAAGTACATTTCGGCTAATTTGTGACTCATCAGTTTAATATACATACATCTCAGAGTTAAGTTACAATTCACACAACATGTGCCAAAAAATAGTGATCAATTCCAGTCCTAAGCATAAATGATTTAAACAAAAAAACCAAACGAATTAAACTAGGGCTTATTCAATGTTATTATATGATACATGAAACGCGATTATCCACCTACTACGACTCCTTACTTTCTTAAAACTTTACCCTTATAATTTAGTAATTGTATTACTGTCAGTGAAGGTGAAATTGATTGGTACTGCTAGTACAGGCAGTTTGCTGTTATTTAATTGCTGACACTAGGCTGTACTTCACATTATTTGCTGAATTCTTATGGATTGTCATTTTAATTGAGTAATCTTCCATATACTAAGTAAATCATGTCCAAAGAACAGCTTATTTATGTGTCAAATGAAAGTACTTGGTCTCAATGATGCAATGGAAGTAATCCTAGAAAGGTAACAATAATTGGACGTGACAAACAACTATCAGGTAGTTCCAGTTTAACATTTCTACACTGCATTGCACTGAATTTAAGTTTATACAACATAGGTACTTGACAGAAGGAAAAAAGAATAACTAAAATCAGTTATTAGTGCAGATAGGTTTGTGAACTCATTAAATAACCATTAATTTAGTGTATGTCTGTAACATTTTAAATAATTCGATTGTATAGTTAACATGTCCAAAATATAATTTTGAAATGATAGAAAAATTAAATCGATGAGAAATGTAAGACAGGCAATAGTAGTAATAAGAAGAAAAATAGTCTTATCATATTACCTTAAAGATTAAGATGAAAATAAATATGATCAAGGTAGGATTAATGTAACAATAAATTGTTTGGTAAATATATGGGAAAAGATTAAATGGTTCTGTTACCAGGGTAAATCTGGATATAATTCTCTAACTAGTTCACTTTATAAGCAAAGATGGATAGTGGCTAGCAGTGGAATCCAGGATGCACGGTTCGTCCTATTCGGGACTCGTCATCTGGATGTACCTGCATCTCAAAGTAGATGTTCACTCTGGGACTGGAACCCAGTACCTTTCGCTTCAAACAGCATCGCATTATCCACTCAGCTACTGAGTCCCGAAAGGCACTTGCTTGCGCAATGGGTTGAAGTTTAAATTCACTTAGTATTATTTGTTTGATTCTTCCCATTGATGTTTAGGACTGCAACTGGTCAGTCTCTTATTGGTATATGTACATACTGTGTGTATTACCTTAAATAATAGAACTTTATATTCATTTGCGTGTATGGTTACTTATGGAGATTTTTAACTATCCTCGATTGTATTACACTCTTAGTTATCATGGTAGATGTGATTATCGACACAATTTAATGTGTAACAATCATGCATACATTCTCTAATTTACGCTCGAAATGGAGATTCAGTATTCATAGCAGTGATGACCTCGCAAATACATTGGGTTTTGTGAACCACCTAGTTAATTATTCATTTGAAAGTAAGATTACATGCTTCACATATGAATGTCAAGATCATTTAGATGTCATTGTGAGGGACGGAATACAATTATTGAAAAATAAAAGTAATTTTAATCACATACTTATATCAACTAGAGAGATAAAGAAAATCAGAAGTCTTTGTACAACATTTTATGATGTCTTCAAACTCTTCGGAAATGCTTAACCTCGACCTCATTCTGGGTCCTGAGCTGAGTATGATTTCTATTTAACTATCAAATGAAAATTCAAGGTTAAATTACATGCTTTCAGTTAATTGGTGCCATGGAATGAACATTATTCAATATCATCAATGTTTAATTCTAAATTGTTCAATTCCACGAAAATTCCATAAATGTCTCTTGAAACTAATTACAAATGGACCTACAATTATTATTGAGCTGAGTACTTTGTCAAGATTATCATATTATAGGGTTTATATAATAGTAAATACGATAGTTTATAATCCCACGTAAGTGAATAATATCACACATATTTGAAGTTCAATTAGTGTTTGTTACTGATGTTTGTTTTATTGTAACAGATAACCATTAAATGTTCTCCAAACTTAGTGCTTGAATGTATGTGATGTTTAAATAAATCAATGACTTGTATTGATGACTGTTGTAATTTTGAATTCCAAATACAATACATTCGTTTGTGCTCCTCTTGTACTTCTTGATTAAATTACGTTATTCCTGGGATTACTAGTTTATACTACAATTCAAATACTTCTGATTATCATAATGTATTCTTGAGAAGTTTACTATCGGTTACGAAAAGAGTATTTAACAAGTAAATGTGATTTATTATTAATGGTTCGTATTTTCCCGTTGTTGATATTCAGGATTGTAATCTATCAATTTCTAATAGCACGTCTGTCTGTTTTATTTTAAAAAAATATACGTTAGATTTGACTTAATTTCCACAATGAGATTCAGTTATCTTAAAAAAAGTAAGTCAAATTACAGTCAGTTAGGTGGTTCAAAACCGATATGAAATAAATTTCTTGAAAAAAGCTTAACTTGGAATGAGATTAATATTCCATTATCATTCTGAATGTATAAGTAATAAATAGATTGAAATGACAGTAAATCTAAAGTGTTTAAAACATTTGTTACTCATTCCTATGTATAATCTATTCTGATATACTGCACATTACGAAACAGGAGTAGTTTGAAAAAATTCTAATACCGAAATAAAAACTTCTACAGAAATACTTGATTAATCAATAAATGAGATCTCTGACATTATCGTCATTCTAACATTTGTTGATGCAATTTCCTATAGAAAAGATGTTAGTGTGTACTTGTAGAAACAAAGGT